TCTCTCTCTCTCAGACGCATGATAAATATTTAAATGATAAAACACAAGATTTAATAAAGAAATATATTTATTTAGAGTCTAAAATCCAAAAAATCTTTTCTGTAGACGTTTCAAATAAAATGCAATACAAATATAATTAAAACACGAAGTTAAAATGATTAATTTAGATTAAAAAGTCATGGTATTAAGAGTGGTGTCCCTAAATTGCGCAAAACACCGCAATACAGCGCAACACAGCGCAAGAGTGGAATATTAACCTTCAAAATAAATCACCCCGGCAACCATTATTGTTCGGAGGGGCAAGATGAAATACATTGGTGTTAGACAAATTGACGTAGAAATACAGTTGCTTAACTAGCTGTTTTAAACAGGATTTCGGGTTTGTTTAATATCTGCTAGTAGAAAATGACAGCAACAACTTGTCGCCAATGATGAAACTGTCTAACAGCCCGTGGGCAGATCATTGAATGATATTATAAATTTATAAAACTGACATAATTATGATTTTGTCAGACGAGAATGAACATATTCTGAACAAAAAATGAGTCAAAAGTAGCCTACTTCATTAGGTACTGTATGGACAATACTACAATACTAAACTTTAGCGGGTGGTAACGATTGAAAGGAAATGGAAATTTGACATTGCTTGCAATTTAATTATTGATTTTAACACCAACACTGCAAGGAAAATATTGATAAATGTTTGCACTTGATTGACACAGCTTACAGCTTCCAACCTCACAAAATCACTAAGAGTCATTATAATTCTTATGGTGTTTTACATGATTTATTTAATGCCAAATTCAGCAATTTCGTTACACATTTGGCAATGAATAAGCACAGCACCTGGGTTTTAATGGATGTATCCTGTGCAGTGGCGGATTTGTTATTTTAAAAAAATTTATTATTTTTATTATTTTTATTATTTTTTTTTCCATTCAGTGTTGTTTCTAATGTTCATGCAATACTCTTTTTTTTTCATTAAATGTTGTATTAAATTTTCATGTAATATTTATTTTTTTCATTTTACGTTGGGGGGGGGGAGGAGACTCGTAGCGGAAACTCATAATGGAAACACTTACGCTAGCTCCAACCCACACCGTCCCCACCTCGCCCCCATACGGTCCAATTAAAGAAGTGATTTTGCATGTACATGTATATCTTTACAGATTGATGATAAAATACACTGGTACAATGCAGGGGCGGATCCAAATTATTTGAAGGGGGGTCCGCGGATGCGAAGCCAACCCCCCCCCCCCCCCACCCCCTTGGCGAGGTTTCGGGCCCCGCTAAAAGGTCCCGAAAAAATTTGGTTAGAGGGGAAACAGTGCTATTTGGTACGGTCTACAACTACATGATTCAGCTAGTCAAAATTAAAATTTCAAGAGGGGACCTTTGGTGTGTTTTTTTTTTTTTTTTCAGAAACCGAAGGGGGGGAGGTCAGGACCCCCCTGACCCCCCTAAATCCGCCTCTGATTGTAGGCTTTCGTACTTAAAACACAGAAAAAAAACAGTAGGAAAAGACCATTTTCCAATATATCATTTTTGGGAAAAGGTGTTAAAATGGCCATGTAATCGTTGTTGTCTTTCAACGAACCTCTGTCTTTTAAAGCTAACATAATATTTAGAAAGAATGGTATCAAAGTAAAAAAAATTCATGTGTGACCAATACAACTTTGCTCGAGATGACAGTGTTAGCGACCAGTCATATAGAAAGGACCCTTTTGTCCTGCCCATATTAAACTATTTCTACTGATTGGCTTCAGTATATAAAATATTGCGGATCGTGGGTTTAAATTAATATATAGTCATAAAAACCCTTTATTCGATTATGATTTTTAAAAGCAGTTTTTGTATTTAAGTAGTACATTTTCACAACAAGTGAACTTCATTTGTATCAAAAATGTACTGTTTATATTTTGACAATGAACATTTGTGAGCAGTTTTAGCGAAAACCTCTCAACCAAAATGGGCCAAATCTGTTCTAATTTGTATAACAATAAGTTGCCCGTCGTGGTGCGAGCTGAATACTCACTCTGCAGCTGGGCACAGTTGAGTGAAGACGCAACATCATGTGTGGTGAATCCACAAGTTTATGCTTTTGTAAGACGTAAAAGCAAGTAATATGGTAAGTAGCACTGCTTCTTAAATAACCTCCCTCAATAACACACAAGTGCAACCAAATGAGAGAAAATTTATTGTAGATATTAGTAGCGCGATTTGTAATATTATGCCCATTGTTACTTGTATGTCACTCACAATGTCAGAATATGTTGGTTACAATGCTTTGGGACTACAACTGTACAGGAGAAATGGTGCTTTCAGCTGACCATTGATGAAACAATATTTGCTTGAAATCTTCAAACTAGCTATATTTAGTTGTGCACGTGTGAAATTTTTTGTATGACCCCTGGCAATTAAAAGGGCATTTGTGACTTAATTTAAAATGTTTTCGTGTAATAAACATAACTGCACAAAAAGACTGATTCATTTAGGTAATATTACTTGTCATAGTTCTGAGTTTTGGATACAGTGAGAAGTCTGCCCTACCAAGGTGTACATCAAGTCAAATTTAGTTAACATTTTAAACGTCGCTTTTGAAGACAATTACGGTGGGTTTCAGCGATTTCTTTTGGGCTATATTTATCAACTGTAATGGATTGATCATTGGGAAGAATTTGCGATTTTTAAAATACATCATTTTATCATTATTATTACTACAAGAATAAGGGTCCACATAGCTATTAAAGTTCTCTTACTTGTTTCAGATTACACTTGAGCAATCCATTTATTCTTAAAGATTGACATGCTGTCAAAAATCTTTTTGTAAGGTAAGTGTTCTAATATAATACAACACACATTCACGCACATGTGAATTGCTAATAAAGCGATGGTTTACAGATGAAAGTTTTACGCAGGTTGACTACCGTCTCCAGTGTGCCGCATTCTGTTCCTCCATTACACGACCAACTACACGTATATTAAAACTTGATTGTACTTTCATCCAAGTTATGTGTAATTTATTTCATACATTCTTAAAAGAAAGTGTTCAAATAAGATGTTTTGCTCTTCTCTAGAATAAAACAAAATGATCTCAATCTGTCAGTTGAATCAAAATTTCTATGCTTTTTTTTTTCATTTCAGAAGCCCATGGAGAAACTGTGCAATATCGACCTGCAAGCTACAAGGTCTTTGGTTGACATATATCATGCTCAATTTCATGTATCTCTTATATCAAATCCGAATAAATATTTCTTTAATTCCTTGTTATTTTTTTCATATTGATATAAAATACACAGTACAGCAATATTAAAATGGGAAAGGAGAAAGATTACATAGATGTGATGACTGTTTCAAATTCAATCTGGAAAATTGTGAAATTTTTTTTTTTTTGGGGGGGGGGTGACGATTTTCTATGAAACCTGGTGATATTTAAAATTGAAATGGTTTAAAGCTTTGTAATTATGCACATTATTTTGTAAATAAAAATTGGACATTAAAGGTAATACCCGCTGAAAGAATATCTAAATTTCAATATAAAGTATAAATTTAAAATCTTGCAATCCATTCATAAGGTTTGTTTGNGGAATGGAATCATCCCACCTGTCACCCCTCAAATGGAGGTAACTCGCCCCATCCGACACCCCTTAAATTGAATAGACTCATCCCACATTCCACCCCTCAAATGGAGTGGACTCGTTCCACCTGTCACCCCCTCAAATAGAATGAACTCTCCCCACCTGTCACCCCTCAAATGGAGTGGACTCGTTCCACCTGTCACCCCTCAAATGGAATAGACTCGTCCCACCTGTCACCCCTCAAATGGAGTGGACTCGTTCCACCTGTCACCCCCCCTCAAATAGAATGAACTCGCCCCACCTGTCACCCCTCAAGTGAAGTGTACTCGTCCCACCTGTCACCCCTCAAATGGAATGGAATCACCCCACCTGTCACCCCTCAAATGGAATGAACTCGCCCCATCCGACACCCCTTAAATTGAATAGACTCATCCCACCTTCCACCCCTCAAATTTGATAGACTCGCCCACTCATACCAATGCAGTCATACGAGTATCATTCATTTCAATATACAAGCAAAGACCAAATTTTCAATGTTTTATTTATTATATATGCAAATAGAACAGTCTTTGAACAGGACATTGGACAAAGAATAGGCCGTCAGGCGATATTAACCGTATGAATTTGACCTGAAATGATAAATCTGAAAATTGGCACCTACAGAATTTACTCATATTAATAATTCGTGCAATTGTAATGAAACTGCTTTGTGTTAATTTCAAATTTTTCATTTACAAAATTTAAAAGCACTTTTAGAATTAATCTGGAGAACAAAAAATGCATTCCAAAGAGAGTATAATATAGGTTCTAAAAATCCAGTCCATATAAATTTTACTTTAATTCTGTGTATTTTAGATTGAATCAAAAACTACCCCCAAAATAGTCATTTATTTTCATTAATTGCTTGTCATTCACAAGTGTAAATATTATCATTAAAAATTGACTTATACAATGCAAATTATAATAATATGATAAGGTAGTTGATTGACTAAATAAACAATCTTATCCGAGCTTCAACATCGTGAAAATTGCATTTTTAATCTCAACTTTGAAATTTGTGATTTGTAAACACGCTGACAATAACATTATGCCATTTTAAACAATTTAATAATTGCACTATTGTATAATGAGACGATTTCAAAAAGAAGCTGGATTGATTCCAAATAAAATGATGTACATAGCATGCCCAAAGGTATAATTTAAAAAATGTCAAGATCAGTCCCTAGGGTATAATATATATATAAAAAAAACAAAAAGGATCGATTCTAAGTATAATATTTCTAAAGGGAACACGACCGATCTTAGTGCACCGTTTCAATATGTTAAAATGTGTTAAAAAATCAGCGAGAGAGAGAGAGAAAGAGACCATGTACAATTTTCAACATATAGCATCTGCAGTGCGAATGGATCTGGATCTGCGGCAGATTTTTAAATACGTCTCGGAGAATACGTCACGTGCACTCTGCAGGATCTCGGCAAAGGCGTTCGCAGTTCTGAAATATCAAAAGAACATTTAAATGGCGACATTTCAATCTTCGAACGCAGAGAATCCGAATAAAGATTAGATTAACTGAAAATGGAAAAACCTCTGCTCATGCCGAAAAAATCACATTGAGGCTAACTGAACACCAAATTTGAAAAGTCGACTAAACGGGGTTTGTATGCAAGATTAAAAAAATTGATTTCACGATGAGAAGAATCACAAGAATCACANTAGCAGCGAGCGCCCCGCGACAGAGCAATTAGAACATGGAGTTTTTAAGATATTCACGCTGTAGCAAATTTCACACGGATATTATTTAAACATCTTTCATCAATCGTCATATAATTTTATATAATGCTCTTAAGAACTTCATTGACTAATAATTCATTTTAGATTTTTATTTATTTATTTATTCTTTGTTGCAAATGAACGTCATTATCACATGTACCTGTAGTACTAATAGCTTGTAAAATCTACAACCTTTTAAAACCACTCCTTCTTCAGGTCCAATTAGTAAAAAAGTGTTAATCAAAAACAAGGCAACATTCACAATTATGGCAACTGACAATGTATTCTGCAGAGACATACAGCTATAAATTCATTGACACTAAGAGTCTTTGCTGCTTACATCTCAACATGCACAGTACGTGTTTGCTACAAACACGGAGTCCAATAAAAAGTGAGACTTTGAAAATGATTGTACTAGGAAAGAAAACAAATGAAGTTCAATGAAGGCCTCTTAGTATTTATGTATCAGTTTATGATTAATAAAGTTTTTTTTTACTTGCGCCTAAAGCAAGAGAAGATAGTGTGCAGGAATCTCCTGAACCGGGATCTTTGTTTTGGCTTTGGAGCTGGAATGAAAAAAATATGTAATTAAAAACATTGGATAAAATTGGACTTCAAATATAAGACAAATGATTGGCTTTTATAGTGTATGTGGTCAACAGATTTGAAATATATACGGAACCTGGTCTAAAAACATGATAAATGAAAATACTTACAATATACAGCTATGATTCATTCTTTTCAGTGGGCAAATTATATCAAACTTCAGACACAAATTTTATAATTACAAAAAAAACAATTATAATGCAATTATAGTGCTTTTATTGCATAGAATGTAACTATATAGTAGCTTGCTTTTGTGTGTTGTTACTACAAAACAAATATGTTTAAATTTTAAGAAATTGTGAGTTTAGAATACAGTCTGAGTATCTGTAAAATTTGCAATCCCCCCCCCCCCCAATTGTAAAGATCCAGTAATTGTCATATTTTTTAAAGCTGATATACCTCACTGTTTAAACATGGACGGTCCCTCAAAGACACCAAAGATGTTTTAGAACTTATAATTCAAATGTAAAAAAAACTTGAAGCTATTTGTCTGCTTCTGAATAAGTGCTTAGGATTTATCACAGAAATACATCTTCACCCCCCCCCCCCCCTCCACCATCCTCTTTGCCCTAATTCCGCTAGCTGTAACTTCCCATTATTTTAACAAACCACCCTCAGTTCCAATTTACATCCGAGCCTTGATGTTTTTGTTGTCATCAACTGAAAATGTCAATTCAGTTGATTGTCCTTCCATTTTTGTTGTATCGCATGGGATTTGTGAATTCCGTTTTATGCCTGACACACTGTATTGAGCCAACTTCTTTCTTTCAATGCATTGTTTCAGACAAATATTTTGAGATAATACGAAAGGTTGCAAAGAATATTTTTTTCATCAAATAGTTACAGTAATAAATTCATTAGACTCCAGCAAATAATTCATCATTAGATTTCTTCCTGTTATATCTTATGCTCCTATACTTACATGAGTCATCCTTTTTAATCTTTTCCAAGCATTCTTCTGAAATAAAAAATAAAAGGTATCAGATCTGAAGCTCAAAGTAGTTTAAGGAACTAGAGACTTTTAAAGATTTATATCTTTAGAACAGTGCTTTATTGATAATCAATCAGTTTTTTAAGCTCTAAAATAAAATGGAATGTGCCATATATTATAAAAATAAACCATTATTTATAATTATTAGGGAAAATGCTACCTCACCTGTGCCAAATTCATATTTAGATATACAAAACAATATGGCTGGTTCTATATTTTTATCTGTTTTGTACATAACAAAGAGAATCAGGGATGTAAAGCATATTACATACAACATGCAGTTAAGTATAAATCAAATGTTCCCATAAAAATATTTTGCAAAATAAATAAATATGCCAAGAAGAAAATAAAATAAAAAGCTGCTGCTGCAGTTTTATTTTAGTTAATGCTATCTCATGAATGTTCTGAAATATGCATTAATTTATATTTATCAGTGTCAACATACAGGAGTACATGTATATGACAATACAGTAGACCTGTCTGGAAATGTTTACCTTCTATGCTTGGTGCAGCATCTACTTTTTCTTCTCCTGCCTTGAAAGTGTCAGCTGAAATATTATGAAATCTAGAATACATATGAGAATACAACTGACATCTCTACGGTACATGTGAAATATTTTGTTTTTATCTTCTTTTGGATATGTAAATGTTTATAAATTCATATTATGTAACAACTAAAATTCACTTACGATAGCTATTGTGAACTTGGTCAATAATGATCTCTGAAAATATAACATTTGCATTAATACATCATAATTATATCGCAATCACATATACTATATGGCAAATACAGTGAATGTAGTAGTTGTCACTAACAAACCTATTAGTGTCAACATACAAGATTACATGTATATGACAATACAGTAGACCTGTCTGGTAATGCTTACCTTCTTTGCTTGGTGCAGCATATACTTTTTCTCCCCCTGCTATGAGAGTGTCAGCTGAAATATTATAAATACAGTGTGTACAAATACAGTGAATGTAGTAGTTGTCACTTACTAACCTATTAGTGTCAACATACAGGAGTACATGTATATGACAATACAGTATACCTGTCTGGAAATACTTACCTTCTTTGCTTGGTGCAGCATCTACCTTTTCTCCTCCTGCCTTGAAAGTGTCAGCTGAAATATTATAAAATATAGAATACATATGAGAATACAGCTGTCGTCTTTATGGTACATGTAAAATATTTTGTTTTTGTCTTCTTTTGGATATGTAAATGTTTATAAATTCATATTATGTAACAACAAAAATTCACTTACGTGAGCGAATGTGGACTTGGTCAACAGTTGTCTCTGAAAATATAACATTTGCAT